CTCTGGTTCCAACGAAACAGGGCAAATGCACACACGCTACACATGTCTTCTGGATAGTTCACAGAACACATTCTGGTTGGCTCACAGCAGTCCGCATGTAAGAATGCAAAAAAAAAAAAAAAAAAATGAGGATGAAAAAACGCATGGACCTGAATACAGAGCATCTGGAATATGTACTGTAAATGCAGATCGTATCAGATTTGTATAATAAATCGCTACCATGAAGATCCAAGAATCACTGAGGAAAATGAGACCATTGTTGATTACAAGGCCATGGAAGGTCAGGTCGTGCACGTCCGTTAAATATATGCCTCCCGCTACGAAAGACTCTGTATACATTTAAGTAATCTTATATCATCTTTCTCAAAGACCCGCTTAACATCAAGAAAAAAAACTTTTGGTATTCTATTTAGAGAATTACTTACACAAATTATGCATGTCTCATCTAATTAAATAGCTGTAAATCCATCAAGATATCACTTGCTACCGAAACATTACTTTTATTGCAGCCAAAATTGCATTACAATTATTGGGAAACCTCAACTTCTATGTGGTTTGTCAATTAACCGCCTGAGTCTTTGTAATGAAGGGAATTTACCTAGCCTTGTAGAAATGCGTTTTTACGTTATTATATCGTATATCTCCCATATTTTGTTTCGAATAACCCCTGTATAGTGCAAATTGGCACCGATCTAAAAGGGCTGTAGATTTGGGATTATGCTCAATAACATTAAATTTGGATATTTCCAATTAAACTGATAGTTAACGATTAGGTGATGAAGTTTCAAACGTTCACGAACTTTTTTTCTTGTTTTTACGGAAGTCCTTTCCATATTTCTCAAAATTTTCCATTTCCAACCGCTCACTTGCCATTGAAATGAACTGCCTTTATTTTGCCTTCCTCATATAATTATTTCTGCCTTCCTTTGGTCTCAGGAAATATTAGTTAGAAATTAATAAATAGTTTTTTTTTTTTCATTTATTTGTAATTATCCTTTCATTTAAATACGGATATACACATATACTACAACATCAAATCATTCACCCTACGTACTGAATACTGAAAACGAAAATATAGTGATTTTCACCATTTCGTGTAGAGGAATTCAGAAGTACAGTATCATGTTTTGAAAAAATTGCTTCCAAAGCGCTTTGCCTTTATATTATTGTAAATATTTGCATATGGTATATAAGGCTAAGTGAATAGCTCAGGACATCATAAATATTCTAGCTCCTTTGGCACTGTTCCCGATGGTAAGCAAAGGAGGGTTATAATATTGCTCAGTGCAACTTGAAAGATGCTCCTTATCAGCTCCTGACGAAGATTTGTGGCCGTTTGCTGTTGGGCCAATGGCTTAAATAGTCTGGTATGAAAACTTCCTTATAGTTCGCTTCTACATCAGAGGTATTGTCGACTTGGAAGTTGTGGGTAGTGGAAAAATTCGTTTCCGTTGATTTATCGGTGTAAAAACGTTCGTGTGACCGCCCCTTTAGTGGTTTATGTTGAGCATAAGAATGTATGACACTGCGCAACATTATATTCTTTCTGGAATTTTGAAAGAAGATCCCAGGAGACACTAACCATTGTTTTTTTACTAGTCAAGTTATTTGCAGAGAGCATGAATATGGTTTCCTTCTCGGGTATACGGATCCTTGGCAAGATGGTGTATTTGCTCCAACACTTCATTATTTACAATGACAACATTTTTGCTGTGCTTCCCTCGGCGATTCCAACGTTCCAGCTTGACTCTCTGAAGTGAGTTATCCTCACTAAAGAATCCTCAAAAGTTCTAATTGGTCTGAAACGCAAACTCATAGAGGAAGAGTCTCTTAGAGTAGAGCACAGTCTAGGTAATATGTAGTGCGATCTACTCAACCCATGCTTGAGGCGAGAACATTTAATTTTATTTCCTGACCATGAAAAACTGGAAGCGAAGAATACTGCATATGCAACATTCCCATACACACCAACTTTAGTTAAGCAGATTTTAACAAGCGAAATTTCTACTACTTCTTCTTGGCTTGCTCCCTCACCCCTTGAAAAGACGAATTTCAAGATGCAAAAGTTTTAACCTTACCAAAAGTATTACAGAATCTTTCAGATATTCGACTTTCCAATTATATAAAGAGGGATCAAATGATTGTTTTGAGGCACCGGAGATCCCTATTTGAAAGGGGACAGTAATTCAGTGAACAAGCTACTTTGCTTCTGGAGGATCATGTTTCACTTGCGTATATGAGATCACTGGAAGGAAGTTGTGTCCTACTAAAGCACATCCTCTAAGACTATTACAAACTATCATATTGCCTTAAGCCTCCCTGACACTGACCTTGTTCAAAGAGAACAGAGGAACAGATGGCCCAACTCACGGCTACATCATCTTGACCACAACACTAATTATTAAAGATGTTTCGGTTAGAAAACGCATTGACAATGTTCAAAATGACATTCTATTTTTTGTAAGCTTTTGTTTCTTGTGTTCAATATGGTTCTCCCAAC